AATAATATCAATTACACTGACCATAAAGTAAATTGGGACATTTAGGTTTACTTTGTATCTTCGTTTACACCCTGCGCTCTGATTGGGCACCAGTAATTTATACTTGCTACGTGATTTTTTTTTTGTTGACGCATAGCATAAAAATGGTTAGATGAATTTGAATGCAACTTGTGTGCCATGAACAGAATTCATATTTTATACGCCAATAAATATTTTCGATAGTTATCTCGTATACGCGACTCTCATTGTAGAGGGGATGAAACGATTATGATTTTTTTAAATGTTTTTTACATCACAAAACATTCTATCCCTCCCATAACAGATTCCTTTCCCAGAAGATCCCTTTCCTTTTTCACTTTAAAAAAAAAGATCCCGATGAGAAAGTTACTTCGAAACTGACACTTCCCTTCAAACCTATGTCTACAGTACACAAAAAAAAACTTTAATACCGACTTCCGGGCACTAAAATGTAAAAAATAACTAAACGGGGGTTTTCATTTAGAATAGATACCTAATCAGATATTTTCGATGTCGGTGCCAGCTGACAATATTAATATGATTTGGTATGAACTCTAACTATAGTTAAAATATTATACATCAATTTGTGATATATTTTAGGTATCGAAATATGCTGGTTTCAACAGTTCTAGCGGCGCTAAAAACACTGACGCTGCCTTCTAGCTTATATTTCCTTCAAGGAAATGAAGAATGTCGCGTCTCATTAATCTTACACGTGCCTAGACACATGACGTTTTAGTTAGGTTCTTTATTTCAAAATAATCGATCATCTGGTGACTAATTTAGTTAGTAATTACGAAAATTAATTGGAGAACAGTTAATTAATTTACAGATGACTTAGACCGCAAATTATTAGGTATCTGAGTGAACTTACGTCATTGTGTAGGGCTGCTGAAGTTCAGTTATTAATATTTTGTATTATACGTTAAATATAGGTTACTAGAGATAAACAAAAAAAATCTATCCCACTTTCTTATTTATAAACCGATTGACATGAAACAAACACATTTAGTGTTTTCTTAGTGAAGTTTGTCTGTTTGTGCTTTACTAAAGGCGAACCCGAGCGAAGCGAGGGTGAGCGACTAGTCGATTAATAAAATCATTCATACTTGACGCGGCATTTATAATTTATTATTACTAGCAAAACCCGCAGCTTCGCTCGCGCTAAAGCTACAAAAAAACTGTGATAAGGTAGGTTCTATACAAACTTTCATCCTCTATTTTACCCCTTCATGGGATAAATTTAGAAAAATGCTAAAACAAGTGTTTATTTAATTGTATTGAAGAGCATTAATACCAAGTTTTAAGTAATTCTGATCATAAATAATTTTTAGGTTATATTATAACGTGTTTTTCGCGATAAAAAGTAGCCTATCCTCTCCAAAATAACACCAATCTGTCGCTCTGTTTCGATGTGAAAGATGGACAAACAAACACACTTTCACATTATACTAATAAGTATGGATTTAGCAGAAAGTCTACAACGACTGAATAAAGAAAAATATCATGTTTATAAAAATAAGTAGGTATCAAAAACTAATAAATGATAACTGAAAAGTTCCTTTCATCGAAAGCTTCAGTTCTGTATATCTTTGTTGGAAAGCAAACAAAATACTTATACTTAGAACCCTATTAATTTATAGATGCTACAGTTACGAGATCGGCTTGTTACTAATTCTGTAAGTATGAGCTAATTTCTCAAGTACACGGTAGTTGCAACGATCGATGGGTTCAGGCCAAGGTGATGCACTTGTGTATTATCTACTAGCGCCTACTTGACCGGTTAATTACTAAGGTCTTGTAAGTATAGGTATAATATAATCATTGAGATTGATGTAAGTAATTATACTAGTTCATGTTTTGCTTAGGCTTCCTTTGTAAGATTTTAACTTTTAACCAGAGTTAAAAGTGTACAGTAGAACCCTATAGGGTATGTACCTATTTCTACGCTCTACAAAAAAAATTGAAAGGGGCCGAATTAATAAAACTTGAGAATCTTATATAAATATACATACCTACAAATAATTCAACAATACTTTCGTACTTAATTTTCCCCGTAAATTGTGCCTATGTGTGGAGTGGCATCCCTATTTTTTTTAGTGGTAATTTCACAGCATTTATATATATATTTTATTTTACTCACGTAACTAACAAACTTGAGCTATACATTTTATAGGATATGGCCAATAGCCTTCGAGGAAACTGATTGTGCCTTATGGACAGACGGATACATGAACAAGATTAAATTGTTATTTTCTGTTCTATATATTTAGTTTTTGCTTTTGGTTACGGAATGCTAAAAACGATTATAAATTAATATATAACTTCATATACATATAAAAATCATTGTTTATTAACATTCAATAGTTTTTAGTTTGAAGTATAAAATAGATTGATAATATTAAAACAAAATTATTGTTTCACTAACAGTCTGCTTGGATTTTCATACACTGTTATGTAATCAAAAAGTTTCGAATGAAAAAAACGAGATATTCTGTACAGCCCATTATATTCTTAAATAAAAAAAAATCATTTTGCAACAATAAGATTTCGGAAATGAATCAAAACACACAACAATAGTTCTTAGAAAGATAACAGATGCTGTGCTGGGTTTCGAACATACGACCTCCTGTTTAGATTCCACTGTAGAGTCAACCTTATCTGCCTAAATATGTTAGTTTAGCGTGGTTAAGCGCCACGATCCTCTTTTATTTATTATTTTAAACTTCAAGTCATGTTATGAATTGGCCATGAAAAGATTTTTTAAATAAAACGTAAATGATCGAGTCAAAATGCAGCATTAACTATGAATTCAAAATAGACATATCGATATGTTAAAAGATCTCGAGGGAGAAGCTGTCGGATTGAACATTTATTTACGCGATGGCCAGCGATTGTAAATAAAAGCCATAATGCAAGTTTTCGTTTATATTTTGCCGTGCATAAAGCTCTTTTCTCACAAAAAGCTCCAGTTTAATTCTTTTGCATTTGTAAATTAATGAATTATTTTCGATGGAAATATTTCATTACATGTTTTATTAGCGAAAATAAATATTAGCTAGTATTATAACGTACGTAAACATTTTTTGTCAAACCGTCTCTTTGTTTGTTCTTGCTACCAATATCCGAAAATAAAATAAATAAATAGAAAGAAAAATTTTAGTAGTATTTTTATGATAATTAGTATTTTTATATACCTAAGTATGTATTTGCATACTGTTACCTATCACAAAACTGCCGCTCTTTCTGATTATAAGACAGACTTCCTCGATGGTCTAGCGGCTAGCACGTACGATTGCAGATCTGGAGGTCCTAGGTTCGACTTTCCTAGTTCCCGCAAAGTATAGTTATTGAGTCTCAGTCAAGAAATTCACGGTAATAGTCCGAAGTTGGAAAATTGATATTTTTTTATTACCACTAGATTATCCTCAGATCATACTCCTTAAGGGAAACTGATGAAAAGATTCATTTTCTATAGGGGCAAAATACATAGATTATGAGGTATATATATAATCAGAGACCTTGATTTGGACAAATATTGAATTAGCGAATATAGCTCGAAGTATGTGAGGGAAACCAGACCTCGATTATAAAATATGAACATGATTGAATTACAAGCATTCTAAGGGCTTCTTTCTGACTACGCATTTCAAATAAATATTTCATAAACTTGGACTAGGAACGCTTTAACTGTACCTGTTCTAAAATGTAAAATTTTGTTTACATACATCAATACTCCATAATAAGATTTGTAAGTTATAATTAGTAAATATGTTTAATTAATTTTTTACGCCAAAATATTTGATGTTTCCAAAAGAGCCAAAGATTGATACAATTATTTTTGTAAATAGGAACGTAGATATTTTTACATATAGTATTTTTAAGATACTCTGTTCTTATATGCATAGTTATAAACTAAAATATAACATCAAATCTGCCCTTGAAATGAGTTACGTAGCGGTCTCCGTGACCAAACGTCGTTATAATAAGTTGCAGTAGGTATAGTACAAAAAGTACACATTGGTAGACGTTAAATTCATTTTTATATGTGTCTCTAGTTTTGAAACCAAGGGAGAAGATAGAGCAGCATTCATTTTTACAGTATTAATAAACTAGCGGCTCACCCTTGCTTGGCTCGGGTTCGTCCCTGGTGAAAAATTTATTTTTCCGTTCCCTATCGCACCAACTCTATCGATAGAGTTGGTTTAAAAACATTTTTCGGGATAAAAAGTAGCCTATGTTCATTCAAATCCGTTCAGCAATTCTAGCGTAATTCAGTAATTGAGTGACAAATCCATTCACCCATGCAACCTTTCGCATTTATATAGTAGTAAGATAAATTATAAACGAAATAAAATAATGTTTATAAATAATACCACTTGTATAATGTGATGAATGTCATAAATGTCAGAAATGTCATAAATGAGTCACTGTGTAAAGATATTTTTTATCAAACATATCAAATAATATACAAGATGTGATAAGTATGATCCGTTCATCCACCTGTTTTGCGTTTGTATCTTGATCTCTATCTAACTCGATGAGTTAGCGCTGATTCATACTTTTTTCGAAAGCTTTTCAAAGTAACTAAAGTTTCGTCAGTAAGTTTCAGAAAGCTTAAGGCAACTGTCATAAACTTAACTCTACGTAAGTCACAAATATGATTATAAGTATATTTAAAGGTAAAATCGATGGTGATTTCGGTAAAAGCTGATAGGCTTCAATAGGAAGGTTTGCAATTATCCAGAAAATTAAATAGTTATATGAACAACAAGTTTGACTTGATAGCGGGTTACATGCCTCTTTACACTGGCAGAATTAATTGCGTCTGTTCTTCTAATTCGAAACCGTTACCAAAAAAAAACAATTTTATGTACATTGCGCATATATAACTTATGGCTTTATCAACTCTTATAACTCAATATATTTGTTTCTACTAGATAAAGTAAAATAAAATAATTTAAATATGGTTATTGACTCACCAAGTCGCTGGAAGGATTGCCAGATCGCTCGAAAGGTACACATAGTCCAATCACATTATTCGACTCTGCTTTACAGGACGGTAAAGTAGTAGTCGATGACATGAGCGACGTAGAACAAGAGGCAGGTCGCGATATACATCATGATGAGTATTTGCACCAGCATGGTGTACCCTCGTCGAGACAGTGAGAGACAGTGTACCTGACTGCGGCTGAAGCCCCACGCAAGGTGAATGTCGCCAACCGCTAGGTTACGCAATTGTGACGTGTAATAAGTCACACTACTATGGAATCTTGGAGGCTTGATCTCGTAAACTTATGCTATGTACAGAGTGTTGTGTGTGAAGTATTGATTGGATACTGACTACTGACAGAATGTTTTGCTTGAAGAAATTTCGGCTTTAATCATGTTATTTGCGATTTTAGATTTTTTATCTTGGGTGAGCTAGCAAGCACTTACTATTTCCCAATCAATTTGAAATTTGATTTTTTAAGATTAATTAAATTTTATATATAAGAAATCTTATAATTTTATATTATTAAGATTCCAATTGCTTAAATTTAATGATTCATATAATCAGGGGGAATCAACGGGAATTCATAGACCTTTATATTGAACAGTGGTTGAAAGTAGTACGACACCTGTGTGTCTTTTTGAAATTCAGTACGTACACTGTAGATTAAAGACGCTTAAGTTAAAAAAAAAACATGCTACAATTTTTTTATATTTAAAAATTACAATAGCTTTTTACATATTTTTATAGTGCTATATATTTCTATTCTATCTATATTATAAAAACTTATTTTTCTATACTCAAAGATTTTATTTATTTGCTATGATAACAGTTTCCAAATTCATCAGGAACTCATTAGTTACGTTTATTTTGACGATGGTGGAGCAGTGGAGAACACGTGCGAGCCAATTAAATAAACAAAAGAATACATTCTTTACAAACTTTGGTAAATCGATGCATTACTAGTTTTTAATAAAGTAATGATATTATTTTTATATTTTCTCACGCTTGAGGGTTTCTGGTAGAGATCTCTTAAAGAGATAAGTCACCCTTTGTACACATGGTATCTAGTATGTATAACATACAAGTGAAATCCACTTGTATTTTTTTTTCTGGTACATAAATAAATAATAGATATAGTGTTTATATTCAGTCCTTAAAGCAGTGGTAGCCCAGTGGTAACGAGCTCGCTAGCGAGTTTAAATCCCAGGTCTTGTACCTCTGATATTTTCATGTGCGAATCATTTCCAATATGATTACCACTTGTGAAGTGACGGAAAATATCGTGAGGAAACCTGCTCGTCTTGCAAGTTTTCGAAAGTCATGTAAAGTCCGCTAACCCACCTCTTGTATTGAAGTTTAAAAAGGGCTAAATATATACTTACATATGTTTAGCCCTTTTAAACATCCCACTGCTGGGCAAGGGTCTCCCTTAAATACAATGGGGATCAGACCATAGTCTGGTCAATGCGGATTCGGTAATTTAATGTTTATAGCTTTTTTAATGATATGTGTACATAAATTTCAATCAATGTATGTAAATCAATAAAGATCACCTTAAACTTATACGTTTTGAGACTTTTTTCATAAATAAAGTACGTATATACATATATTTATAGTTTCGAATGTATTTTTTTAGTTCTAGTGTGTTTATAACTTTAAAAAATTCTAAGCTGTAACGTTGAATAAGTGATAGTGGTATGCGAACAGACAGGCTTGACATTTTCCATTTGGCCCTTTTGCTCGGGAAATAAAAACACGACAATAATCATATATATCTAAGCTTGTAAAACGTCATATTATTATATAGATCCTATCTATTAATTTGCATTTAGGAATGTAAAAATATATCGAAATAACCCCATCGATGGTGCTCGTCTTTATTAGGTCGGTCGTTGCCCTTTAGTTTAAATAGAAACAAATCAATAACGACATAATAAATAAAAGAGAAACCCTTATCCGATATTAAGGGAGAGGAGTGAGAAGTGACGATATTCTCTCTCACCTGCGAATGTAGAATTAAAAAGTTATAGGTACTGTTTTATGTAACATTGTCTTGTGCCTATCCAATAAATAGTATTTTCATTATATTATTTAGATTATTTATGAGTATTTATTCTTAAAGGAACAACGTCACCAGCTGGCCTGATAGGGATTAATAGGCAAATAAATATTTTTTCGAATATATGTAAATAGCACTAGCAAAATACACGTTACCGTTTTAACGTTTAGTATAGATTTCTCAGAGATGAAATAAATTTTGCCGCCGTAAAAAGTATCCTATATGTTGACCCGGATAACCAGCTATCATCATACCAAATTTCATCAAAATCGGTTCAGTGGTTTTCTCGTGATGCATTCCAACACAGACAGACAGACAAAAATTCTAAAAACCATATATTCGACCTCTGTATCGATAATAGTGACTATTTCAATAAGATTTTCCAAAAAATATTTAATTTACAGATTCAACTCAGTTGGAATTTTATTATGTTATGTATAGATTTTATATTTGTACCAGCATTGCCCGCGGCTCCGCCCGCGATCAAATGAGAAAAACCTAATTCTTAGGTTATACATACTAGTATACTCTTACATTGCAGTTTTTGTTTTTTTTTCTCAGAAATGAGATATTTTCCCGCGGTAAAAAGTATCCTATATGTTGACCCGGATAACCAGCTATCACCATACCAAATTTCATCAAAATCTCTCTAGTGGTTTTTGTAGTGGACAGACAGACAGAAAGACAGACAGACAGACAGACAGACAAAAATTCTAAAAACTATAGATTCGGCCTCTGTATCGATAATAAAGTCTATTTCTATAAAATTTTCCAAAAAATATTCAATGTACAAATTCGGCTTAGTTACAATTTTATTATATGTATAGATTGTGAAGCAACAGTTATTACTTTTCCTAAAATCTATCTCCTAAGTAAGAAAATCTACTCTATGGCCTACGTTATAAATTTCGCGAGCTCTTTTCTGGAATACAAAAATAGTATTAGTAGTGGCTGCATTTCCATATAGTGGAATTGTAGTAGTTAAATATTAGGGGCGGAACTGAAATATATACTATGAGAGTCGTATCTACATCGGTTATAATTCTTTTTTACAAGAAGCGCTAGATAGAGTTCAGCCCATTTTAGTCGCTAGATATTTAATGGTCTCTCTATAGGTTTCGACTCTTTCTCATTTACCACTACAACAGTATCTACGCATTTCACTTGTGGAAAGTTTATCAATTTTGCCCTTGTACAATGTACATTACTGATGATTAACCAATGTGCTTCCTTTAAGAGAGCATAATAGACATGGTTTTAAATTAGTAAATGTCAAGAAAATATACATCAAGAGATAGGATACTTACTTCTCCTCACACCATCCAGCACAGTGGTGGCGGGCACTGCCAAGTCTCCAGGGGATTCCCCGTCCACCTGGTGCAACGTCAGCTCCACCTCCGAGCCCCCCGGCCACGCCATCGTTCATCACCGCACAAACACGCACATCACTAACATTGTATGCACAACTACTACGGGAGTTTAAACATTTGATACACTATTCACTCATGGTGATGCAGGACCGAGCTCAATTGCACCGTTTTCTAGTCGATGATTAATTTTAAGCCTTTGATTTTAATCGATATAGCCTAGTCAGTTATACATTCAGTTTTTCGTATGGTTTTCACTTTATAGAGAAATAGAGAAAATTAGAGAAATAGAGAAAAGTTTAAAAGATATTATAGTAGAAATATTTCTATGAAAATTAATTTGTATACAGTACATATCAATTAACACATGTACGTATAAAACTACTATTGTCCGGAACAAGTATCGAACACGCGACTATCTTAATTTCAGCTAAACATAATTATTTTCCGAGAATAAAGTTGATTATAGTAAAATATTCTTTACGCAATTATTCATATACATATAAAAAAAAAACAAAAATGTTATTAGAATATATTATAATCAGTTTAGGAGGAGATTACAAATATTTTATATCATCCTCTTATGTTCTTGGCAGCTTAAAAAAGCTTTGAGAAAGGCGTGTAAAATGGCTGGCGAACTATCGTCAAGAGAAGCAAGCCTCTTTTATGAGACGAATCGCTTATTTTGCACTTTTACAAAGTACTCTTATATATCTTGCCTCCTTTATTTTCCAAATTTTTTAATATAAAAAAAAAATATTATTATTCCTTAAGTAATACGGATACTAATCGATACCCAGCTTGGTGGTGGTCGCTAGGCAATTATATAAAATTCAACTAATATCATTAAGTAGTTCGTCCATACCTATATTTGTCAAAGGAAGAAAATATAAGAAATAATGTGGCTTATACTGGCCAAATAACTTTTAACTTTAATTCCAACAACAGCAAATGTAACTTTTATCACTCTTGTTAGACACCAGTGTTAGTAAATGCCTGTAGTATCTTTAAGATTTACTCGACAATACGGGGCCGGCATTTCTTACACGTAAATGAGAATATTAAATACATTGATAAGAAAACTTGTGTACAAACCACAATGTTTGCTCTTTGTTACAAGATATAGTTTTTACTTATCTATACATATAATAAAATTCTAACTAAGCCGAATCTGTACATAAAATATTTTTTGAAAAATCTTATTGAAATAAGTAGACATTATTATCGACACAGAGGCCGAATCTATAGAGGTTTTTAGATTTTTTGTCTGTTTGTCTGTCTGTCTGTTACCGCATCACTGAATAACCACTGGAGGGATTTTGATGAAATTTGGTGTGGCGGTAGCTGGTTATCCGGGTCAACATATAGGATAATTTTTACCGCGGAAAAATATCTAATTTCTGAGAAAAAATACAAAAACTGCAATGTAAGTGCATACTAATATGTAACACCTAAGAATTTGGTTTTTGGACCTCTGAACGCGGGCGGATCCGCGGGCAATGCTAGTATTTAAATATATCTCTAATGTAGAACATCAGAAACTCGTTTTCCTTGTCTTAATTAATAAAAGATCGATAAACAAAGACTCTTACATTTTTATGTT